CATCTGTAGCTCTGTGGTCAAGCTGCTGCAGGCCCTGAGCAGTGTGCTATGTTCATGAGGTCTTTTTATGGCAGGCAGATGGTGTGCTCTCTGGCTAATACTATATCTGTTTTATATGTATGTTACCTATTGCTACTTGAGTAGGATACCAATGAAAGATAAAATAAGTTCCGTAGCAAGGTGACTATGGTTAATAATAATGTATTGCATATTTTGAAATATCTAAAAGAGAGGATTTGCAATGTTCTTACCATAAAGAAATTATGAATGTTAGATGTGGTGGATGTGTGAGGTCCTCTGATTTGAGCAATATGCAAGGCATACATGTATCCAAACAGTACGTCCTATACCATAAATAATATTTGTCCATTAAAAATAAAACTAATAGAAAAAGAAAACCCAAGTTTGAAAATGTTCATGTTGGTTCAAAGGTCCTGGAGACCTTGGGTGGCTTCTTCTCTGGCAATCCCAGCCCCTGCCTACCTTCCTTCCACTTGTCAGCCACCCTTCATAGCCTCCCAGGGTCCTGCTGTGTAGTTCAGGCTGACCTTGTACTTGCTGTATAGCCCAGACTGGCCTGGAGCTCATGATCTTCCCTTGGCTTCCTGGCTGCTGGCATTACAGGCTACAGCACCAGGCTTGGCTAGCCTAGGAATTCCTCGAAGTCCCCACCCCTACTCCTGGGGGATTAGCTCAGGCTGCTCTAGGCAAGAGAAAGCATCAGGCCCCCAAACCAAGCAGGAAAGGCTTCAACATCCCCCACCCACCCAATTTGGAAGTGCACAGTGAGGATCTGCATGCTCACCCTTCTTGGTTGCCTCAAAGCTGTCGTGGAAATGAATCCTTTGAATGTCGTAAGTCAAGGTTGTGTTGGGCAGGAGAGTCCTGTTCCTGTTGATGATGTTGGCAGAAAATCGAAAGGCATGCTCCTCGGCGTTCATGACCTGGGCGTTGGGGCCGTCCGCATACTCAAAGATTCCTCCTGTGAGAGATGACAGAGCTGTGTGTGGGAAGGAAGGATGGGGCTGGAGCAAGGATGCTCCATTCAGGTTATACAGACAAGGTCTTCCCACCCCAGTGTTCAATAAGATCCTAGATAATTTCCATGTTCAAAAATTATACATTTTACCCAACTAGCAAATTCCTGCTAACAAAATCTGACAGGCCAAAATAAGATTACCAACTTAATACTGCTATGAAAATTCTTAATAGAGTTCTGGCAAGTAGAATCTACCAGAATATTACAAGGCTAACATACCATGACCACATAGTTTTATTTCAGGAATGCAAGACCAGTTCAATATAAAGGAATCTGTGAATACCATTCCACCACATCAATAGTTTGAAGAAGATAAAAATACGATCAACTCCCAAAATTCAGGCAGGCATCTGATGAAATCCAGTGTCTACTGCCATAAAGAATGTTTAATAAGACAGCAACAGGAAAGACACTTCCTTCGAGCAACTTTAGCTCACATCAGCCTTAATATTGCAGTAACTAATATCTAATGAAACACTAGAGGCATTCTTGTCAAAGGAAGAATTAAAAAAAAAAGTGTTGGTAAAGATTCACACTACACCACTAACCCGTAAAACGAGACAGAAAGTGAATTGAGAGGCATGACTTCTGCAAAGGTGCAAATTCTTATTTGCACATGGTATAAATGTTAATATATTGTGATTGTATTCACTCCCCATACGTCTCTTATCTCCCTCCCCCTCTATTGTCTCTATTGTGACTTTTTCTTTTCTCACGCATATACCAGTCTTGTGTGGATGGTCGTGGTTGCTGCATGCTAGTGATTGTGGTGACCATGTCACACCCATAAGTCAGCATCTCCTGGCACTCCTCCCTAGCCTCTGGCTCTTCCTGTCTTTCCACCCCGTCTTCTGCAACGTTCCCTGGGCCTCACAGGGCTAATGTGGATGTCCTGTTTAGGGCTGAATATGCAACACACACTTATTCTTAGCACTTTGACCAAGTATGAATCTCTGCTCTGACAACTGCATAGAGCCCACTGAGGCTTTTCTGAACAAGGTTGCCCTAACCTATGGCTATAAACAGAAAAAATTAGAAGGCAGCTTAACTGCATGAGAATTTATCAAATCATCAGTAGTAAATTTTTCTCTGTAAGGCCCGGTATATGCCGAGCTATAGGTTTTGGAACAAGTTTATAGCATAGGGCACAGATTCTTTTTCATGGAGTAGGCCTCAGATCCAATCAGGAATTGGTTGGCTACGCCTGGAACATCAATGCTACTATTGCATCCATGGGTGCAATGGAAAAAAAAAAATCAACCCCCAGCCATGAAGACAGGTGAGAATGGTTAGGGAGAGTTAAATAACTAGTTAGCACATATTAACAGTGCCTCTTTCAATCAGTGAGAATTCATAAGGACACCCTACAGCAAAAGGTTCCCCCTTAACAACGTCAGCACACATATTAAACAACAAATAATAACCCAAATACAAAGATGCAATTCTAATAGCTTATGGTGCAAACAAATTAAACATCTTAAGCAAGAGAGATAACCAAGCCAGAAGTGGTAGCACATGGCTTTAATCCCAGCACTCAGGAGGCAGAGCCGGTGGATCTCTGTGAGTTTCAGAGACATGCCAGGGCTACAGAGTGAGATCCTGGTGGGAGGCAGTGAGACAGAGACAGAGAGACATACACACATAGCTCCAATGCTGCTGTTCCTTGGAAAGTAAAATTTCAGGTCTCAGTTTTCTCCAGTGATTTTTCAGTTTAATTCAACTCCATTCACAACCACAAAAGACTTCTCTTTCACTCAGACAAAATGACTGTAAAATGTGAAAGCTAAACATAAGATAATGACTGAAAAAAATGTCTTTACAGGAATGATGAAAGGTGACTTGTATTATCAGATTTTAAAATATATCATTAAGCCAAAATAATTAAAACCATGTTGTAATAGCGTCTGAAAACACATGAGATCAAGAGAATGAGATAAAAAGCCTTAGAAAGAGGCTCAAGCAGAGACAAGTATCTAAAACATGAATGGGAAGATGTTTCGCAGCAGTGGCAAAAGAATGAATTATTCATTAATTGTGTCCTGACAATTATTCTATTATTTGGGATTTCAGTTTTTTTTTTTTTTGACACAAAGATTGAATCGAGGATTTCATACACGCTAGGCAAGCACACTACCACTGAGACCCATGCCTGGCTCTCCAGATTCCAATCTTACTCCACATATCAAAACCATTTCCAGATGAATTAAAGATTAGCAAGAAAATGAGAGAAAGGGGGAAAAGAACACTATAAAGTTGCCAAAAATAGAAAATAGGGGCGAACAGTATATAATATTGGGCTAGAAAAAGCCTAAGTATTTCAATGAAATCAGAAAATGTGGGAGAAAGACTGCCAAGCAAGTGATGTCTAGGCACCAAAATCACCACGGACAACACTGAATGGCGAGAGGCTAACTTGAAATATCTGCACCATAGACAGCAGCATAAAAGTTAATGTTATAAAAAGCACTGAGATTGAGAGCCAAAGAGACAGATACGCCAGTGTAAGCGGGCGCAAAGGGAAAGGATGGGCACTCCATTAACGACAACAAAATAAGCACGAGCTCTCAGCGGGTGGAGGGAGGGGTCACCTTCCGTGGAGACTAAACACTCAACTGAAATCGACAGCGAGCTGCCGGTTTAACTCATCTGTAGGCACAGGAGAAGGCGGATCCGAACACAGGGGCCCCGCTTCCTTGTTGGCAGATGGGGGAGATGGCACACAATGCTTTTCCTTTCCTTTCTTTTTAATTTAACGTCCTTATTGGCTCTTTGAGAGTTTCACATCATGCACCTCAATTCCACGCACCTCTTGGTCCCTCCCATATCCTCCCCTCAACCCTGCAGCTGCCCCCAACAAAAGAAAACAAAGTAAGCAAGCAAGTAAACAAACAACAACAAAAAATACACAAAACAACAACAACAACAACAACAACAACAACAACAACAAGAACTCTCTCTGCTTCTCCTTCTTTCCTGCCTCCCCACACCTCTCCATTCGTCCTGGTGGCACTGGGGTCCTCTCACACTGCTTTTCCTAATGGCCATGTATGGAGAAGATCTAGACACACCCAACCAGGGGACGGAAAGCCGTGAACAGCCATGGAACTGTAAAAATGTCATGGTATGACTCCTCATTAGAGGAACTTCTCTTTGTAACAGATGGTGTTTTAGTTAGGGTTTCTATTGCTGCAACAAAACACCATGACCAAAAAGCAAGTTGCGGGGCGGGGGTGGGTGGGGTGCGGAGAGGGGCGTTCTTTGCTTACAATTTCAGATCATAGTTTATCATTGGAGGAAGTCAGGACAGGAACTCAAGCAGGGCAGGAACCTGGAGGCAGGAGCTGATGCAGAGGCCATGGAGGGTTGCTTCTTAGTGGCTTGCTCAGCTTGCTTTTTTTTTTTTTTTTTTTTTTTTTAAATAGAACCCAGTACCACTGAAAGGGGATAATCAGTAGCTATCTTGAGAGATGCTTCCCCCTCCCCTCCTCCAAAGGTATTTGCTGACCAGCAGTTTTAGAAGTGATCAGAAGTTGAACTTAAGGCTGGGACAATAAATCTATGTATCCTGGACTTGGCAGAACAAGATATGGGGAGGAATGGACTCAGCTGACCAGAAGTTGACCTTAGAGGAGAGTAGAACTGGAACAATAAATCTGAATGTATCTATCCTGGGTTCAACAAAAGCAGGACATAGGGAGTAAAAATTTATGTCTCTGTAGATACCCTGAATCCTGTTAGCCATCAGTAACCTCATGCTTATAGTTCAGCCAGTAACTTCAAAGAACTGCCTCACCCCTAGCCCCCTCGTCCAATCCCAAGCTGCATGTAAACCTTTCCTATATAAACCCCTTAAAGTGAGTGCTCAGGGCTGTTCTCCTCCTCCCGCTGTGTTAGATGTTGGAGGGCGGACCAAGCTAGCTTGTTTTGTTAATAAAGACCTCTGTGTGCTTGCACAGGATAATGGCTCTGTGGTGGTCTTGCTTGGGGGTCTTACTCAGGCAAAACACCACCAGCCCAGGGATGGCCCCACCCACCATGGGCTGGGTCTTCCCCCATTGATCACTAAATGAGAAAATGCCTTACCGTTGGATCTCATCAGGGAATTTCCTCAACTGAGGTTCCTTCCTCTGATGACTCTAGCTGTGTCAAGCTGATACATAAAATCAGCCAGGACAGATGGAGACCATTACAGAAAACCACAACCAATGAAAATGTAGAGTTGTGGAGCTCAGTCCCAGTGGACACCTCACCACAGCTCCTGTACCTAAAGCATTGCAGAAGGGGCAGAAAGAGCCAGAGGACCAGGAGGTTTGCTGTGAGATTGTGTCTCCTAGAAATGTCAGAGAAGCTATATCCAGGAAGTCTCACCCACAGGGCTGCCTAGACAAGACCTGAACAAGGATGCCACCTTGTCAGAGATGCTAACAGGGAAGAGGGAAAGTTCACCAGGCCTCAACCCATAGACAAGAACCACAGGCACCCAAGGATGCTGATAACAGGAGAAACAGTCTTCCCCAGGGACGCATACACAGGCTGATTATCCAGTATCAAATGGCCAGCGCTGGAGACATATACATGCATTACATAGAATGAGCAGGTTATATTTCTATATTTAGGGGTGTGTGTGTGTGTGTGTGTGTGTGTGTGTGTGTGTGTGTGTAACCACAATGAAAGAAAAGGGGACCATGAATTTGAGCGAGAGCAAAGGAAGTACATGGGGAGGGGAGAAGGGAGGCAAGAGAAGGGAGAAATGATGTAATTATATTACATTTCACCCCCTTCCCCCTTATTGAGTCAGGGTTTTCTCTGTGTAACAGTCCTGGCTGTCCTGGAACCCACTCTGTAGACCAGGCTGGCCTCGAACTCAGAGATCCACCACCTCTGCCTCCCAAGTGCTGGGACTAAAGGCGTGCGCCACCCTGTGTGGCTGTTTTCAAGAACTGCAATGATATGGGAGATGT